CACCCCCATTTGTATGAATTCACAACAGCATCAATTCGGCCATTTCACTATAGTGCGCCACCTAGAGTTTACAATGTGTTGGCCAATCACAGTGCGCAAAATTTGTCCACCCAATGCACGTTTAGAAAGGGTTGACAAATTTCAGTCGTTGTGATTGGCCAACGTGTTGCAAACTCTTGGTGGCGCACTATTGTGAATCGCCCGTATTGGGAGGATTAGTATTGCACATGTAGATGTCAATAAAACCTTCCTTTTTATGAGATTTCTGTGTTTTGGGCAACTGATTTCTCCCTTGCAGTGCCACAGTTGGGAGATTTTTACTGCACCTGTAGGTGCTGTTTGTTTCAGTAGATGTTGGGAGGTGGTCGTTAGCAGCTATCAGCCTTGGATCAGCCTGCAGCTTGCAAAATGACTTCAGTGACGCACTTCAGTGCAATTTCATACAGAGCCGACCATATGAATCAGTTGTGGGATGGTTTGAATGGGATGACCTCGTTATTCCCTTTTTTGCCTTTTCTTGACATCACTTGTCATTCATAGAAACCAAGGTGCTTTGCTCTGTGGTATGACAAGTGGTATTGAACAAAAGCTGGCACTGTTACAGTGCTTTGAATGAGGAAAAGGTTGCTGGCATTTTTAGTGGTTTATGAATTCCTGAGTAGCCTACTCTCCCTGTAATTGAATGCCAGGACATCTGGTGTATGGAGTGTGCACTGCCCTTCTGATCCTCACTACTACTGTACAGGGTGGTCTGCCCTTGGGCAAGGAAAAAACGCCTGTCCAGCTATCAGGCATGGCTGTCCCCTTGATCTCCTGAGATCCCCAAGGACCTCTCTGGAGCTGAGTGACCTGAGAAGGAGGCCAACGCACTATCAGGGGGTTGTTGTTTGCCAAGAAACTTTGATGTGGTTCAAGTGTTTCATTTGCATGATTCAGTTAAAAAGTAGTGATTCTTTAAAGCGTAGCCACTTTGCAATCAATTAACACCTCATCTTTATTCACACTTCCTATACATAGAACACAAGTAACAGTACTTTGTACATAAGTTTCACATACAGTACGGTACCAGTAGCAAGTATTCAGAATTATCTTTTTTCTGTCTCAACTGTGATTTGTTTGAAAACCTAGCCTTTTAAGTCATGCTTAAAAATGGACAGAGATCTGACAACAGTAATGGGTTGAATTGAAGATGATTATTGTGAGCACTGGCTTCGCCACAGCAAGGTTGTGTTAGTGGTACCAGCAAAATCCTTGCAACATTGCTTGGTAACCACACATTCATTGTTTCTTTACGTACATGTACATGAACAGTGTATGCGCGTAACAGTTCACACATTGCTGGTACTGGTACATGTACAGGCCTATGAATCACTGAAAGCTACGGTAGCACTGCCTGCACCATTCAGTGTACAGTGTATCACCATGGAAACATTGAACCGGGTACTGCAGGGTACAGTACATTACATACATGTAAATCACAGTATCACATTATGCCATGCACTCTGAAACTAACAGCATACATGTACACTACATAATGATGAAGTGTGACATGTATTGTCACACACAGCATCGTAGTCAACCAGTACACGTACATGCATTGTCAAATTGGTACATCTTAGATTATGTCTCAGTAATATCTGTGTCACATCACATTAGTTACGGTACCGTACAAGAACGTGTAGGTTGAACATGGGTCTGTCAAAAAGTTCCCATCTGTGCAATGTGTGTATTTGTCCAGACATTGCAGTGTTCATGTACACAAATTGTGTCCTTGTTGGATATGATTGCAAATGTGGAATGAGATGAGTTTACCACTAAATAATGTCATTTTTTTTTCTAAGTTGGTGATAGTGCCCAAAGCAGCCAAAAGCATGATAACTGTATTGCAGATGTTATCAAGATAAGCATTTTGGTTTGAACATGTCTGCTATTTTTAAATTGACCTCTAATATTTTGAAATTATTTGCAAACGAGGCTCGTCAAAGATAAGTTCGCCAAAAGCAAAGTTCTGTTAGAACTAGAATGTGTACAAGCCAGACATGGAGATACATTTCAGATTTCTTTCTTTTGTCCTTCGGCTCTGTCAATCCTTATCCTGTGTGTCAAGAGCATTCATCGATCAAAGTGATTGTTTGCAACCCATCACAAATCAAGGGAGGTTTTTAATACAGAGAATACAGGTTTGATGACTCAATCTCTGGTCTGCGATTATAATGAGTGAGGAAGGAGAATGGTTGGGGGGGGAAGTGGAGGTGAAACCAAATTAACATAAATGTACATGTAGGTGCCACCTACAGTACATGTCGAGTACACTGTATTATCAAAGATCCTGTGGTAGCAATAAAACATGGGTAATTTTGAACCTCATATATACATACATGTACAGGGTACATGTACATGTATGTATACCATGCTGGTGCCCATGTACACTGTACATGCATGTACAGGTGCTGCACAGTACCTGCTTACATGTGTATTGCTAGTTACACATGCATACCGGTATGTTGGTTAATGCATACAGCCCACTACATGTGCACGTTTATCATGTGCTGTCTATGACACAGGAGTACATTGTGACATTGCGTCCCTGTCCAAGGCTGGACACTTTCTCTTGTGTTATTCAACACTCATCCTATCAAACTTACTGCATGTACATGTGCATATTGTTCCAAAATCCAACACCTGTTGTATGCTGTGGCATACAATGTATGTATGGATATGTACAGTCGTCCATGTTTAACAGTTGTTCCTTCATAAAGTACATGTACATGTGATGACATCAACGACATGTACTTGTATACAGTACAGTACATGTACTGTACATGTATATAATGTACAAGATAGCTTAGCAAGTGTTTGTGCAGCATGGTCATGACACCTGTGTTTGACTTGTCATTAGCAACGTACGGTATGATGAGGATGTATGATTCAGTTTTTGTCTGACAGCGGTTTGTAGAGTCATGTGAGAATATTACAGTCACTTGCCATTTTGCCAAGTGAGTACTACACTGAGCAGGCACTGGAAAAGAAAGGAATTTTTTTATGTTTTGGACTGTTCCATTTGTGGCTGTTTATTCTTACCAGAAATACCGGTACGAAATGTTGAAAATTGGGTCTTCATTCTGTCAGTGCCAATTGCACCTCTACAGAATGGCTTTTTGGAAACCTGGGGAATAATGGCACATTGCTGAAGGATTCCCCATCAAAGGCAACAAGAGGACCCACTGGACCAACACAGCCTGCTTTGTCCATCTCAAATAAAAAACACCACGTCCTCCTTTTCAGGCTTTTCCTGAGGGGGAAGGCACTGATCAGTGAAGTGAAAAACCACAGCAAAATAAAGCTATCACTGTGCAGTCACCAACAACAGTACATGTATTTTGAACCCACTCCTTGGACACTCCTTTTTGTATGTGTCATTCCCTGACTGACGGAAAAAACAGTCATCGAAATACATGTGCATTTAGGTTGTCATTAGTATGGAGGATGCTTTTGTTTTACTTGTTTTTGGTTTATTTTGTTGTGGAGTATTTACGTGTCCTGGTACACAAGTATAAAGTTTAGAAATTCTGCATTAGAAATGTACATGAACCAAACCTTTGGTTGCAAAAGGGAAACATGTTTTAGAAAGTAATTACACCTAGACATAGTTTTCAACCTTGTACAAATGACTACTCACCATGCAGAGTACTGTGGTACATGTACATATTACATTATACAATACACATGTTCACATGTATCGGTACGTGCTCATAATATATGATCCAAATACGGCAGAATAAATTTGTTCAATGCATTTGGGATTGTACACATTAGACAAACTGAGTGATGACATATTTGTCAATGTTGTTTGCATCACAAATAATCCCACTAAGTTAAAATTTAAAAGAATGAAATTGAAATTGCATAAGAGAGCAAACACAAATTGCCCGTTCTTATTTCTTATGTAGATCCCGTGAATATATGTAAATTAGGGGAGGCGTGCAGTCACTTTATTTCCTCTTTTAATCGTAAGCTTTTAATTTCAATTTGATCAACTTGTCTTGCCCTTCTCCTTTCTTTAATACTGAACAATGTGCACTTGGAAGGTCTGGTAGTGTGGCTTTCTGCTGCATACAGCTTGTACAGTGCACGCTGTTCTCTGAATGTGAACTTGTGGCACAAATCTCAGTAACAAGTCTGGGTTGACTGTCATGAACACTGCCATCTCCCTGACCTCTACCAAGAAAACTACTGAGTGATAGATCATGTTTGACTGGTGTGCCAGTGATTCCAGCACTTGTGGCAAAGGTTATAGTGCCAACACATACATTTTTTCTGCACCCCCAGCTGTTCAAAATTTGTTGCTTAAGACTGAAGTTTTGCTTTGACTGCCCCTACCTTGAAAAAAAAAATGACTCCTGAAATGCGGTTTGAAAGTAGTCATTTTCAAAATGTTCTTTACTGTACATTGCATCTTTTTTTAAAAATAAATCTGCGAGGACAATTTTTTTCAGTCATAGGATTTCAAACTTCCCTCATTAACCGGGAAAGATCAATTTCACACATTTCACACAATCATCAGATCACATTTACTGGTACATGTACATACCGGTACAGATAGTACTAAAAAAATTAAGGACCACTTTTCTCAACTTATAATTTTTTCCAAGCAATGAGTGGGGTCTAGTTTTTTCAGTTTTTGTTTGTCTAGATGGTGTTCTCATTGGAATAAAAAATTTTTTTAAATCGAATGGATATTTTCAGCAGTAAAATATCTCATAAAAAATGTATACACAAAAATAGTGGTCCTTAACTTTTATGAGTAGTGTAGGCCCTACATGTACAGTGTATAGGTACTTTTACTTCTTTTTTTTCTGAGGATATTTCAAAAGAGAAATTGATTGGATCAAACAATTGTAATTTGCCTCTACCATTTCTTGATAAAAGTGGAAAGTAAATTTTTTAAAAAAATCATTTTGTGTTCAATTCATAAAAGTGGTTGTTTTTTTTATTTTCAGGTGTGTTATAGTGTTGTTCAACCCAAGAAGGAACAAGCAGTCTCACATATTCAGCCATTCGAGGTGAGAAAAAAAGGAAAGCTTCTCATCAACTAACCCCTAAACAGAGAATGTTTTCACCGAAGTTGGCTTCAAGTACATGTACATGTACCTATACATAGTTGGCAAAATGGTTGATACCAGGCTCACTGTGCATGTACATGTGTACGTACCCGTTGTGCATATGTACATTCACTTACTGTACATGAGACACTAATGACCATATATCATTATGGCTTGTGAAATAAGCCAACAAATTCAGGATTTCCTTATTGCATCCACTTTGATATTCCAATTTCCTGTCCCCTGTGAGTTTATGATGACATTAGCTTAACTTCAGTTAACTGCCAGTTGGGGCCGATTTTATGAAATTGTTCAGGCAGAGAAAAATACTTGCTTAGCACAAAAAGGTTGACCAGCAAAAATGTTATTGATATACATATGTACATGAAGTTCTGATTAACAGGGTTTGGCTGATACCGGTAGTTGTACATATTCCTCTTTAAAGATATTCATAGGGCACCAGTAGCCAGGGACTTGGCACAAAGGTACCGGTACCCTGTACATGTATGTCTGGCCACAACCACATCCTTTCCTGATGCAGCATTTTATCGCTTGGCACAGCTTCTCAGCTGGCTCTCACATGTACATGTATATCTTCATTTATTACACAAAATCTGCTCAGCAGGTGCAACTTTTTCCTCAGATGAGCAGATTTACTCGTTTTTTTATTCTGCCTATAGATAGATGTGTAGCTTCATACCTGAGATCTTTTTACATTTTCAGGATATGTTACATGTATCTTGCGCATTCTCAGGGTGTATCACATATACATGTATTGTGTAATGTCGTGTGGTCTTGTTAACTATGAGGGCAATTCAGTTTACCTTCCGTGTTTACAGTTGATCTTCCAAATTGTACACGGACCGGTACCATGCCAGTAGGTGCATGCTAATGTATGTACTGTGCACAACACACATGTACTGGTACATGGTCTTGTGCACAATTCAGTACACCATAAATCAGCTCATTTTAGGGGCAATAGAGAGAGCTTTTTTTCTATACAATCTTCAAACTTACATGAGCCACAGTGACACAGTGTTAATGCACACAATATTTTCCTGTTGTTGTTAAATTCAGTTCGAGTGATACGTGTAAATATAGTGATGAAATTGAAATTTGTAAGTTCATAAGGTGTGATTTTAAGTGATGGCCATTAAATGGCCAAGAAAAGTGTGCTGGAATTCTCATCAGGAAATTTCACAGAAATGTAGTTTGTGTGCTCAATGTACGTGTACAATGTGTGCATGAAGTACATTTAGAAGTGAGCAGTTTCTATGCAAGTCTGATTATGAATCATTTTCGCAAGTGCAGAGAAACTGAATTAAACAGAATTCCTTTTCAGTGTTTCACACCAGTAGTTTTTCTTGTCACATACATGTAATGTAGATGTATCATGCTTTTGCTTGTGAATTATGCTGACTGGCGCAGCTGGATCTTTTAGTTTTGTAAAAAATAACCATATTAACCAAAAATGGGAAGTCAATATGGACGAGTCACAGTAGTGCACCTCCAAGAGTTTGCAACGCATTGGCGAATCACAACGCACACAATCTGTCAACCCTTTAAACGCACATTGAGTCCACAGATTTCGCGAATTGTGATTGGCCAACGCATTGCAAACTCTTGGGGGCACACTTTTGTGAAACTCCCATATTGTCAGCAATCAGGTACATGCATAGTATGCCTATACATGTACATGTACATACATGTAAGTTCAGCACATGGTGAATTACTAGTACCAAAATAGTTGTTACTGTTTGCTACATGTTTGACCATCTGCAGGCCTGTATGCAGTACATGTACGTACAGCAACAGATTTGTGGCCTATTCCAAGATGAAGCTGATCGTCACCGATAAATTTTGTCTTCTTGAAACTGCAGGAAAACCATAACAGCTCTTGCTATATCTGGCGATGGTAAAAATGTGGTTTCCGGAGAGGTGAGAGAAATTAGGAAATCTTAATTATGATCTGTGTGAAGACTTGTCACTTTCTCACTGTAGTGTGGCATTAGGGATGATTAGAGGACGTTACGTGGGTAGTTTTTAAGGTGCATGTACCAGCATACGTGTACATGTTTTACTGTAAATACTCTCAGCAACTCATTTCATGCTCTTTGGCACGACGATATGCATAAATATAGTTTTTCCTAATTTGATGGCAATGCATACGCAGGTCTAGTATCTAACGGTACGGTTACAATTAACCTTTATATGTCATACATTTTATATTTTCCCTCTGTATTTTTCTAGTATGGTCACAAGCCAGCTGTGCGGGTGTGGGATGTTGAGGAGAGAACGCAGTTGGCAGAGTTGCACGGGCACAAATTTGGTATCAACTGTGTGGTAAGCGCATTCATTTTGCCAAGCAGTCCGGGCATACGTGTACATCAGCGTATGCTTGCCCGTAACCATTGCTGTACCTTTATGGGCTCAAGCATAAATAAAAGAGAAAGATTGCTTCGGAGGCTATAAATCAGCTAGACAACTGGATAAATAGTCCCTGCTTATTTGGTGCTGCATGCGGTTTACAGGGCGGATCCTAATTGATGGCAAGACCAAGTTATACCATTGCGTCCTCATTACTTGTGTCGCCAAGGCACCGCCACTATCATTCGTCAAAAGTAGCCCCCGTCGCTTCTGTCATATCAGCCAATTGATGTTGGGGACCGCCTCCACGTGATTGCAGCAATAATTTGTTTGATGGTTGAGGTGTGAAAGGCGGACGTGATGGAGTGGGGCAGATGTTCCGTCTGGATTTGTTTGTACACGAAGAAGCAGCATCTGGGATATCAGTGGCAGATGATTTGTCTGTCACATTAGGTTTGTGATGTCCTCCTACAATGGGAACATGATGCGGACTGTGTGTGTATGGATGCGGAATGTCAAGGCTGTCATTTTATAGGCTACTGTACATGTACCACATGCACACATGTACATGTAGGCGGGCTGTGGACATTCATAGTGCATTGCTGCAATTACAGCAATTGTGCCTGTTGATTCCTATTCACTGTGCACTTATTACAGTCAAACCATGACTTTTACCTGAAGCCCGCCGTGGTCATCATAGCAAGAAATACATGTACATGTATGTGTACATTTTTGTTACTCACTGACACCTGTCCTGCATTTGGAATACAAAAATCAAATGTTTACATGTACAATAGGCACGGATGAAAAGCATTTCGATTGTCAGCATTTTTCAGATTAAGTAAATGGTCATCTTTCCCTATATATATGTTTATGTTCTGGTACATGTACTGTACATAAACACATAGGTGTACACATGGTACATGTACAAGTGCACGTTACAGGGTGTCACATTGACACTGATACATACAGTGTACATACGTGTACATGTACATTTCTTTGAGGGCAGTTTGATCAAAACACTTGCCAGTTATCACGCTAACTTGCTCGTGTTATTGAGGTGCATTTCAATCTTTAGAATTTTGAACTTAATCAGTCATAAGCTTTCAAAAAAAGGAATTATTGTTCTCTGTCATTGACTCATAATTACTGTACATGTACATGTACTGGTACCACCCAAAATAGCTAAATTCTAGTATTTGATAGATTGACTTACATACATGTGTATATGCACATAAAATTTTAGTTTTCTTTGTAAAAGACTAGTCAAAGTTGGACCACAGAGATGCATGTATGGAGCAGATAGCTTTTTAGAATAGGGATGAGCTTTATATTGGTTCAGAGATACAAGTGTGTACCAGTACATGTACATGTAGTTCTCATATTTCACCTCAATCAAGTTTGGTTTTGGTCCATTTTGTTAGACACAGCTGGAGATGTCATGTCACATGTTGGTTTTAGTGCAACAGTATTGATTATGACAACACTGATTGTTCACAGTTTTGGTTATTTGGGTCATTCCATGAGGTTGGGGCACAATTTGTGATGGTGTCCTCCTTACCGGTACATGGGTAACTTCTACCACCTGTCATGATCTGTAGAGTAGATCATTTACTCTGTCAAAATAACACACCCCTCTGTATTCAGCCTTGCAAGATGTATAACAATGTCAATTTGGAATCCACATGAAGGGAAATAGCTGTTCTTATTTACAGAGCCCATGTTACAATTGACACCGTCACAAATTGTGCCCCAACTTCATGGATTGACCCATTTACAATTATTTGTTATTAATACTACATGTACATATATGTTCAAGTTGCAGTTAAAACATTTCCCATTAGAAGTTACACATTTTGCCAAGTAGCGTTTTAAGTACATACATGTACGCATGCAGCATCATCAGAAAGAGAACAACCCAATTATGGCACATACCGGTACAAATAAGGAAAAAAGTTCTTTGGAATATTTAGCCAGTAAAACACACAAGAGCCGGTGTTCCAAAGAGTTTCATGCATTCATAGTTCCAAATTTACTTGTACATGGAAATGAAACAATCTCTTACTCCATACAGTTCTCTTGCTGCGTTTATCGGCATCTTGTTTTGAAATTGGTCAATTGAAATGTCACTCCTGTAATAACCCAGTCAAGGGATGTTTGTAGCTATCAGTAGCACTCCTTATCAGAAATTTGTTCAGTTAAATGCTTTTTGTTAAAAAGCCAGTTCAAAATGACTGCAGGTGCCGTACATATATGTGTGCGAGTTCAAATACTTACATGTACATTGTACATGTATGACTGCGTGTAAGAGAAGTACATGTACATGTATGTGACATCACGTACCAGCACCATCAACTAACTGTCAGAATAGCATTTATGAACACAATATCTTTTCCTTGACAACTCGGTGAATTTGCAACTCATTCAGCACTGAAAGAAAAGTTTGTCAGAAAGTGCATCCCAACAATGCAGCGTGGCCAGCCTGGGGGGGGGGGACACGTGGAGCTTTCTGGCCCGATTGGTAGGGTGAACTCCCCAGTGACAACACGCTGAATGATGGGATGCCAGCCCACTCCACATGGCCCTGATTCATCGACAGATGAGCCTGAATAGGACAGGAATTTGGGGGTGTGTGCGTGTACAGGGATGACAGGGATTGGCTTTCATGTTCGTGTACTTGCACTTGAACTTTTGCCCTCAGGATATTGCGAACCTTTCAAAGTTCATTTTAGAGTGAGGGATCGTTCTGGTATATGTACATGTATCTTGGGAACCCGAGTAAACATAAGAGTGAACTGTCATACCATGTTGGGATTAATCAGTTCAGATACATGTAGATGGTTTGTTGCAATGAGTTTGAAAATGTGGTTACTAATTGTTGCATCTTCAATTGCTTTTGCGTTGCTCACTAATAAGCAGGTGCCAAACTCCACAAAACACAAAACCAGTAGAAACATGTATCATTGTGAAAACTTCTCAATCTTCCAGTTTTAATGTGGATTTTTCACGCACCCTTCAGGGTCAAGGTTGATTCATATTTTGAACTTTTTCAAAAGTTATAGCAATATGTCAAGCAGGCACAGTTATATAACAGTAATATATACATGTACATATATGCACATGTAAATTTCAACAGGATTGCCGTACATGTACAGGTATGACATTGTACATGTATGTTGTTGTATGTTGTATGTTATTGTAAGTTGTTGTATGTTGTTGTAAGTTGTTGTATGTTGTTGTAAGTTGCAATACAGTACATTGTACCAGTGCATGTAGGTTTAGGGAAGTTGTTGATTCCATTTTGAGATAAGAAAATACATGTGCTGGAATTTCTTAAAGATATGTTGAACACTGCATTTGGTGAAATCTGACCCCAAAAATCTGACATCAGTTTTTGTCTTCGTTGCTGTTTTCTGATTCAGGCATTTTCACCCAACCTGAAATATGTGGTGTCCGTGGGTGAGGAGCACGACATGGTTGTCAATGTGTGGAACTGGAAGGACGGCAGCAAGCTAGCCGCCGGCAAAATATCCGTCAAGGTAAGGGGTTGAACCTGAAACCATGTCTGTTGAGAATGTGTCTGCCCATTGGTATACAAGTGCTGGTTACAGACCGGATGGATGTGTGAATTCCAGGTCAGAGTTGGACGATGACCTACAGACTGGTATTCCTGGACCTTACAAGTACATTGACATGAACTGTATAATTTTGCATATATACTGTATGTACACGTATGTGTGCATTTAGAGGTTCACTTGGACAAAATTAATGTCTGCCAATAGAACGTGTTTAGAAAATCATCACACTTGTTGCTCTTTTGTGGCTGTACATAGATGTACACGTATGTAGAACTACAAACTGTTAAATCTATAGTACATGTAGAATCTGTGACAGTGACATTTTGAGACAGACTTCATGTAATACTGTGAGGTGCAACTTGTACATGCCACATCTTTAGGCTAAGGCACATTCTGGACAAAATGAGATTGCCAATTTTGTCTTCATATTAAACAAGCGTTCGCTCCTACGCTTGCACGTGGTTGAAGCTGCCCATAGGAATATATGCGATTATATATTGTGGACGATGCGGTCCACTCGTGGTGGTATTGTTTACTTTTACCGTAGTCATGTGGGTGAAAAAGGTCTATATACATTCAATGTACAAGGGTGCAAAAAGTTATAAGCACAGTTTCTGGATATCAATGACTTAGTGTGCTGGTTGCATCAGATACCGGTGCGCCATTCAATTTGCTGTTGTTCCAAGAACATGTACATGTTCAAGGATGCATTGGATTTGGGACTACTACATGTATCCATGTGACCACAGTCTTACACATTGTATAGGCCTACATGTGCATATGTATGTGTACCATTTGTTGCATACATACAGATGGACATGTACATGTACATACCCCATTTTTTCCTGCTCAGGTGGCTGGGTTATCTTTTTCTGAAGACGGCAGCCGATTTGTGACTGCGGGGAACCGAAGCATTCGATTTTGGTACATGAGCAGCAAGAGCAAGGTATGCTTGACCTAAGGACAGTAGCATGGCTTTTCCCAGAGGCTTGAGTTCTTCTGCAGTGTCGAATGCCAGTTCATTGCATGTTGAGTTACTGTACCTGTGAAGCTCACGTGATAGAGCATTCCTGTGGAGCTAATGTGGTTTGTCAAACAAAAAACACACGTGGGCAAGGTCATTTGAAAGTGAAGCACCTGACGTCACAACAGCTCAGATATCGTCAGCATATGGTGGCCCTGATAGGGTCGAACTTGTGCAAGCGCGGAAATATTCTCAAATGATGTACATGTACAACACGCATCATTTTGTACATATGTGTTGCTTAAGCACAAAAAACCTTGCTTAAAAAACAAAGGTTACCAACTCAAATCTTTGTGATTGTCATGCTAACCAAAAGACAGGTGAATACCGTTCCAAACCAATATACATTACATGGAGTTTTGGCTGGTAACCTGATTTGTCCTGCAAGGTTTTATGCTTAAGCAGCTCTATGAAATTGGCCCCAGGCTGGCTCACGACCAAATTTCCTTTGGTTTTTGCCAAAATGTGGCCCAGTCTTACAAAATGACCCTCAAGTTGCCAGAGCTCATAAACATACACATGTACGTTTACCTGCGGGTTCCGAGCCTTTAAAATATCTTACACTGTGGAAATCAGGAGGACCTTATCAACCTGTCCTTTTTGCCAGAGTAGACCCATCCAAATGTGAAGCTGATTAGAGATAAGGGAAATTTGTCGAAGAAAGTCATTGTAATCTAATTTTCTTTTGTTTGATTGATTACAGACGAGAGAAACGTTTCCACTGAACAGCCGTGCCGGCCTCCTGGGAGAGCAGAGAAACAACAACTTCTGTTCAGTGGCCTGTGGGCTCGGTGCTAACCAGGCCAAGACATACGCTGTCACCAAGTCTGGTCTCCTATGTGAGTTCAGCGAGCAGCGACTCTTGGACAAGTGGGTGGAGCTGAGGGTAAGAACACTATCTGGCTGAGCATTTTGTCGAGAGTGACGTCTTTCTCACATCCTTTTGGATGAGAGATTTTTTTTTTTATTTTTCACAAGTTTCCTTTCAGAAAAGTAATTTTAAACATCAGATATGACTATCAAGTTTTTGTAAATCTCTTTTGTTAGCTACATGACAGTACTGTAATGACAAAATGAAAGTGTGCTCCAGTGTTATTGGAATGTGTCAAAAAGTAGCAAGAGAATGCTACAGGAATGTAAAGGTGTCTCTCCAAAGACACGGTTATTGTGGGCTTGTTGTCCACACGTGTAAGCTGAGAAGGTTCATTTATGGTTCATGTAATTTGTTTGGGAGTAAAACACATTAAAGGAACCAGGAAATGAATTTTTCTCGGAATCACTTTTTGCATATCTCTGTACTCTTCTTCCATGTATGAAGACTGTTGGGCATCTTTTTTGAGTTACGTGAATTTGAACAGTGCACTTTTTCAAACATTTCAAAATTGACCAAGCATTTCTGGACAAGTGAGGGCGCTTTTGCTTTGATGTAAATCCAGGAAGACATGGTTAAGGTTGCACGTTTTCATGTTCAAATTGTGAATCCCAACTTTGCTATCTGGGAACATTTGTGTGAAAAGGATTTTTGCTGGATTATTGCCATATACTTACACAGCAATAACTTGCCAAAGAAAATAAAATCTGCCATAGCAGTGGTTAAAAAAACTAGAAATTTTCTGTGCGTAAATCAGTGCAACATTGAGATTCAATGCCTTGGATGACATCATAGTTCTGCTCACAAATATGCAAACATACATTAGCATAAAAACAAAAAGCATCAAAATATGGGTTAAAATTGCAAAACAAAAATTTTAAATGAGGTTAATTGAAACCCAAAGATGCAATTTCAAGGGTGTTTAGTAAAATTTATAAAAATACTTCTATTTCCTGGTTCCTTTAAAGGGAAGTGAACACAAAACAGAATAAAATATACTTTGGGAAAGACAGCCTGAAACCAACCTTTGAAATCAGCAATAAGCACACAGTTACACTTTCCTTTGACTTCATATTGTGATTTGCACAGGTATGTGTATAGACACGTTCTTTTCTGATTATTAGTATGAAATGACCTAAACTGACCATTCTTTTCCATTATTCCATGTGCATGCATTAAACCCAGTTTCTCTACGCAACGATACTTTAGCTTCAGAAAAGTTCAAGAAAAATAAACAGATTAGATTAGCAGCAAATTTAGATCTGCAAGCGTTGTAATACCGGTACCATCTCCTCCAAACTGTTGTTAGAAAACAAAGTGTTATTTTCTGTGTCCTCTTTTGACCAGACCACAAGTGCTTACTGCATCATTGCAAGTGAAGGGTATCTCTTTGTCGGTTGTGCGGACGGAATCGTTCGCCTGTTCAATGCTTCCACTTTAAACTTTGTTGCAACACTTCCACGGCCGCACTCCTTGGGCGTTAATGTATCCGATGGCATTGACCCAAGGTAAGAAAAGAAAAACATTTGTTTTACCAAGGGAAATTGAGCAAGAAACCTCACTAAACAGTGACTCAAGCCATTGCTGTGAATTGCACTTCATTTCATCAGCTTTTTATGTTGTAAAGTTGTAGTGTTTTTTTGTTTTTGAAGTACTTATCAAGAAAGACCAGTCAAGAAACCATGAATTTCGGTAGCTTTGATTAGCGACGGTAAAGCTCTTGTACCATGTGGGCATGTGAAACCTATTAGGATTTGCCTACCCTCACTTACCCATAGCATTAATATGGAAAATCTTGGCAAAACAGTGTGGATGCCAACAGAGTTGGCTTTGTGCAGAGTATTCAACAGACCAGAAGTTGCAGTGTTACAGTGCATGCTAAGGTACACTTGCATTACAAAACTTAAACAACTCACACTATCAAGTTTACACAACTTGATAGTCTGAGATTCTACACACCAAATGAAAGAAGTAATTTGAGAAAAGGCTATTGTGCTTATAGTACGATGGACTCAATTTCAACACTGCAGAGACATGTACATGTACCGTAGTTACATGTACATGTATGTAATCAAGCATAACCAACAAATACATGTACATTCTGTATTATAGCAAACTTACAAATTATAGTGTCTTTCTTTGCATTTCACAGTCACATGATAACCCACCGTGAGAATGCAAGATACCCAGCAGCTATTGCAATAACTCATGACGATGTCAGCAAGAAGGTAAGTTTAGAATTTGAGTTAATTATTTTCAGTGTTTGTGTACTGAGTGAACGTATCCCGCTGTAGAGTGTGAAAAATGATCTGGGAATTGGAGTATTGCTGACTTGTTAAGCTTCGGTTGTATGACACTTGGTTTCATGAGCAAACAAAATTGTGATGGAACAGTTTTTTGTACTGGTATGTTTAAAACCCAATGAGGGCTTGGGGAATGATATTGAGCCAACTGCAGGTTTGCACTGCACGACGAGGTGCGTAATGCAGCAATACTGGTGTGGAGTGAGATTTTGGTTTTGTGAAATAATGGACTAGGTGGCGGCACTGCGCATGCCTGCCCGAAGAATGAGGTCAGCTATCATCTTGACGAGGGTGGGTATCGATAAAAATAGGAGTCAGAGTTTCATAGGAAACCAGGAAAATGTTTAAAACCAGTTGGTAGTCGTACCATCTTTTCAAGAAAAAATTCACTGCCTTTTGATCATTAAGAATGGGTATACTGTCTGATTTTTTTACAAATAAGTTTTAATTTGGCTGTACCATCATCAGTTGTTTTCTTTCCAAACAATTCTTGTACTTAGACAACCTGCGTCTACAACGACCACAGTATGTACGTTTGGGACGTGCACGATGTCAAGAAGATAGGCAAGCAGCGCTCCTTCTTGTACCACTCCTCCTGCATATGGGGTGCAGAGATGTACCCCTCGCCGACTGCCGGGAACAAGGAGGCCCTCCCACCAGGCTCCTTCCTGACCTTCTCCTCCGACGACACCATCAGGATCTGGAATGTGGACCCCGCGATGACCACGGACACGTTCAGGAGGAATATCTACAGCAATGTAAGCAGGAGGGTGGGGGAGGGTCTTTGAATGGCTGAGGTTGATTTGTTAGCAAGCATCGTTTGTTTGTTGCTACTAGAGCTGTGGTTGAAGTTCTTTAGTCCTTGAGCAGGACACTTAACTACTGTTAAATGTTCTCCATTTCAGTGAGTCATAGCCCAACTTCAGAAAAAAAAATGCACACAGTCTTGTCCCGCAGTGGTGGGGCTTTCACTCATCATGAAGCGTAGATGTTGTCGGGGCCAAAATGTTACGGGGCCAAATTTTTTGTCCCTGCAACTCAGACTCAACTTTCCGACCGAGAGAAATTGTCCCTTCAATGCAGTGATGGCGCGGGTACCGATACGTTATCAAAGGAAATCGGGGGCATGCTCAAATCCAGCAGCTAGTAGTGAGTTGTGACATTGGGCCAGTCGTGTTACCCCTACTCACCTCTCCCCACCTTGGAACATAACTAGGCACCTGTGAGTGTAGAGGCAAGAATACAGGATGCCCTGTGATATTGGCAGCTGAAATGGTCTCTTGGCTAGATGAACAGGGGTAATAATTGTAATAATGCCCTGACCAGCAGTACTGCTGGATGTATGCTTCATACATGTAAATATGCTGTATTTTTTCCATTGTTATTCCGTGACAGGAAAAGGCTTTAATTTTCCCCCCCTTGAAACTGGGTTTTTTTTTTCTGCATAGGAACTGTTGAAAGTTATCTACGCAGACGACCAGCTGGAACACCTGTGCAGTACAGACTCAGACAAGGCGGACAGCTTAGAAGGCAAAAACGGGATCCGCTGTGCCAGTGTCAGTGCAGACGGGCAGTTCCTGGCCTCGGGGGACCGGTCAGGCAATGTCCGCATCCACGATATGCAGTTCATGGATGAGGTGCACAAGATTGAGGCCCACGACTCCGAGGTGCTGTGCTTGGAGTTCTCTAGGCCAGAGTCAGGTTTGTGCACAGGACATTGGAAAGAGCCACCACATTGCCAAGGCACACTTGGCCTTGTCACACAGGCAAACATTTGTAACTTAAGTCAACTAAATCACAAGGGGGACTTACTGTGTCTTCTAATCAGTCAAACAAATTGAGTAGGACAGAAGAGCCTGCAGCGTTGGCTAGAGTAGCAAAATGTGGTATTCCCTTTGCATCCAGTTGTAAATAGATGAAAAAATATGTCCATTATAACAGCCATCCTGAAAGATTGTTCACAAGTAGCTTTAATTAAAAAGATGTATTTGTATCTCTTTTTTGATGAGAGATTTTGCTTTTCTTAACATGAAAATTTATCTGTGTTCGTAGTTACAGAACTGATGTTTAAACTCAAACACCTAAGAGACTTGTACCTGAAATTTGCGACTAAGATCTCTGGTCTTTATAAGCAGGATGATCCAGATCAGGCCTCAACATTAACGGTTGTTTGATTGCCCGGAAGAAGTAATTTCTTCTTTTGGGCAAGTAAAAATTAAGAACAAATTGTCTGATGGACTTTTTTGGGGGGATAAAAGTGTCTGATTTTCGTGGCCAAGAATAGCAGTCAGCATATTTACCTTCGATTTGTTGTTGTCCTTTTTCACAAAAGCTTATAAAAGCTTATAGAAAGTAAACAGCTATGTGGTGTACAACAATGTTTTTGCATCATTAGGTACATGTACACGCTCGTGTGTGTTAAGCACACTGTACATTTAGCAGGGCACCTTTCCATACAAGGGAAAATGCATACACAAATAAACTGTAAAATACCCTTGTGTCTGGGTACCAGACCTCATTGGTTATTTCACACGCGGCACAGTGGAGCTTTGACAGCCGGAAGCTCAAAGACTGTTTGACATGTGACTGTGACTTCAACATCAGTGAACTTTACCTGGTACTTGTGTGTGTACTTTTTGCA